TGTGTGCGTGTGTGTGTGTGTGAAGAACTCCTTTCATGCATACATTTGTGAGTTATTGTGTATTTGTTGGTATACATGTAGAGAATAATGGACCCACTGTGTTTGTTTCCATGCCTTGCAAACTAATAACTATATGTGATCCAGAGCCCAAGTTCTATTAGTTAATTAATTAGTTAATTGACAGAAAATAATCAATTCATTGTTTCTGTCATTTTCCCAAGAAAAGCGAAAAAAAGTGTAGCATGCGGAGCATCTGTTTCCCTCAGTCACATACTATTATAAGTGAGTGTCTTTGGGTTCAGGACCGATTTAAAACCTTGGTCTTTGGGAAATTCAAATTTAATTTCACCTCTTTTTTAATGTTTATTTGTATTTTATAGACCATCAATCAATCATTTTGGATCAAGAGATAAAGATATTAACCTGCTGATGAATGTGTGAACAAGACACAGCTTCATTCCCTCTAATCTTTCATCTGTTATTTCAAATCTTTAGAGTCTCAACTGCTGTTTGGCATAAATATGAATAAGGCATCAATGTTTCAAAAGCTCAGGTCGTCGAGGGAGTCCAGCAAACAGTCACACGGAACACTGTTCTCCTCCTCTCCTCTCCTCTCCTCAGAATGGAGGCCCTGTTAAACGAGTGGCTGTGGCAGGAGAAGTACTGGCTTCCTCCTGGTATCCGCTGGCAGGACATTGAGATGAAGGAGGAAGATGGACGCTTTCCTCTACCCAGGGATCTCATCTACACCTTGCCTCTGGCCTTTGCCTTCATAGCCCTCAGATATGTCTTTGAGAGGTGAGAAACTCCTTCCGGATCTCGGTTGGACCATAAAATCACAACTTAATCTCACTTCTTAATTGTTTTCATCAACTTGACATGTGCTATGCCTGTTTTACCGGAGCAGCAATTTGTGAATATAGACGTTTTCAGACATGAACTATCTTTTTACTTTTTTTCAGTTTCTTGTGTAAGAACATCATCAGTGTGCCCACTTGCTCACAGTGAATCCTCAGGATAATCTCCTGCTATATTCTCACATGATCTCAATCTGACATTATCCAGGAGAAACTCCAGAGAATGTCCTCCCTAACTCAGATACTTCGGATACTTTGAGGAGATTATCCAGAGTTCTGTGCAGGAGTTATTTATGATAGGCCTGCAAGCTTGAAATTAAATATTACAGTTTTATAGGAGTCAGCTGTAGTCAAGTTATTTGGATCTGTCACCACATTAAAGAGAACATTTTAATATAGTAATATCCTCTGATTTCATCTCATTTTGCTCTGCTGGTGTTGTTTTACTGACTGGCTGCCTTGCTGCTTATAAAACTGCTTGTGTGGCTCAGGATAATGACTCCTCTCCACTTCATTAGTCCTCAGAGTAGATGGAGGCTGCAGATCAGACTTGCAGCAGGAGGCCGGCATCATGAGTAGACAGTTTCAGCTGCTGACAGTGCGAAAGCCCTTTCTCCTTCTAGAGGGATTGCACTGTACTGAGCAGATTAAAAATGTGTGTGTTTATTGAGGAAAAGGAGGATAACGACTGTAATATCTAGCTGATGGGCTGAGATAATGGTAAATTAAGCTTTTTAATGTCAGCCGCCAACTGATAAAACAACAGCCTCTGCAATCTCTTATAGTTAAAACTACCACCAGAAGTCACGATGTATAAAAACAGATGGGAAAAGGTTATTGTGAATCCCCAAGTAGTGCTTTTTATGAGAATCCTGCTCCTGGAACATCAAGACACTTTGTGGTTAAAGGTCAAAAAACACTTCTGTGGTGACGACAAGAGAGAATTTGTGGACTAGCTTTGTAAAAGAAATTAATAGGATTTAGAGCTGCAAAGATAAAAAGAATATACATTTATTCAACCTACATATATTTTAGATTTGTTTGTGTTTTTCTAACTTGTTTTATTACCTCAATGTAATTTCCAAGTGTCCTTGCAACTGTTGAAAGGATTTACATTTCTTGCTACAATACAATTTATTAATTCATTGATGGGCAATAATATTTAAATGCAGCCTCTGTATGACTGTTAAAATACTTGGGCGACGCACATTCCCAGGAAAATTTGACTCCCCTGATCACAAAAAGTTTTCAGATATCTGATCATTTGATGACAGTGCATTTCTTTATCACTTTCCTACACCAGTGTATAAAAAAGATTGTGGGATGTTATTGAACTGGAAAATTAGATATATTGAACCCCCCAACATAATGTTAATTTACTCATATTCATATCAAATTTTAGAATCCAATCATATTGAAAGCAATTACCACACACAAGTCCGAAATTAGTCATCATGATTAATTAAAAATCTTATACTGTCTTTAAAACAAGTAGTAGTGTAAGCTCGTGCATGTAAAACTGTAAAACCCAACCTTAGGGACAGCGTACCTGTACATTTACAGTAACTTGTTCTGCTGGTAATAAGACAGGAATCGTGAATGATGGAGACAATGTGTATGAGCATGTGATGGATGGACTGACGTCTTTGCAAGCTGTCCCCTTATCAGCTGTATCTGTTGAAACTATGTGAGCATGTTTGACTGAAAGATTAGTGCTATTGTTTGGTTTAAAGTGGATTTTCATGTCGCCTTTACTCGTATGAGTGGTAATATTAAATGTATTACTAGCAGCCAGCAGTGAGTGTGTAATAGCATGTGCTGAATATCGTGCTTGTGTGTTGTCGAGTTGGGCATCTGTGTATTTTGCTTTTGTGGTAGTTGTGAGAGTTGTGGTGGATTTTTGTGATGTTATTTGTGTCTGAGGAGCAGGCAGTCAGCAGAACGGTCTAAAGGTGTGTTTTCATTTCATCATCCCAGGCCACAGCTGTTTAGTGTGTGTGTGTGTGTGTGTGTGTGTGTGTGTGTGTGTTATGATGTTGTAACCTGAGACTGTGTTTGTCTAATGCAAAGCTGTCCTACCCTTCTCATTCTCTCTAGTCTCCCCCCTCCCTGCTGACTTCAGGGTGATTATCTCTGAGATAAAGTTACTGTACACACGTGATTATGCACCTGCACATGCACACACACAGACACACACACAGATCAAAACATCTCACCGGTACTTTTACACTCACACACATGCAGATCAAATGTCTCTTGATGCCATATCAGCTAATGATAAAAGCTGCCTGGCCAAATGTCACAGCATGTCCCATGGGAGTGGCCATGTCACCAGTAGAGTAATGAGCTATCTTGTTGCCATTACTCTGCATTGTGCTGTGATAACATCACACAGGACAGCTGTTGATGTCACCTCACACTAATTTCTCTGGAATTATAATATATTAAAATAAGATTGATTGTTGACGTAGAAAATGAATTTAACTTCTCTCTCCTGCTCTCTGTCCTCTCAGGCTCGTCGCCGTCCCCTTCAGCAGACTTTTAGACGTGAAGGATCAGGTTCGGATCCGAGCCACTTCCATCCCAAAGCTGGAGACCTTCTACAAACAGAACAGTCGGCAGCCATCGCAAGTTTGTATTTATATTTTTTCCTCCTTCCCTTCTTTTGCTGATGACGGAAAATCCCTCTTGTCTCAAAGCAGAATTTTCCAACAACCGCGTTCTTACCAGCACCTTTTATTAAGCAAATGCCCGTCTGTGTTCTTATCACATATCTACACTCCAGAAATATACGTACAAAAAAAAAGTCATTTATACTTGTAGCCTTCAAAACAATTTTGTCATCATTATTTTAAAAAGCAAGTTAGACAAATAATGTAGTAATTACTTTATACTATACTTAAAGCAGTAGAAAATCAAAAATAGAGATCATTAGTGGATACAATAAGAAGAGAAGAGAATGTAGCTCTAAGACTTCTCTTTTTTATGTGGACTGGTTGTAGTTGAGTTGTAGCTGTCTCTAGTTGGAACAAGGAAAGGAAGCTTCAGTAAATTCATGAGTCACGCTGAGGAGAAGTGGTGGATGTGTTACAAAGGTAAAATGATTATTCAACACAGGAACTTTAGGTGAGTTGTGTAGGGTGTGTTTACTGTACAGTGTGTGAGGCTGTCCTTTCCATTAAGATGCTTAACTATCAGAATGCTGTCTGGTCTCTTCAGTCACAATCATCACTTCCTCATGTCACTGTTTCCTCCTTTTAAGCTGCTTAATAGAAAAGTAAATGAACCTCTGCATCAGGAAACAGAACAGAATAAAATGTTATTGCAGTTTTGGTCTTTTGTCTTATTTTTTCCTTCTATTGGTAAATAGGTGTGCACAAGTAACGTTTGGCATCATGACACTGATGTCTCTGCGAGGACAAGCAGGGTTTTTCTCCTGTCACAACAAGACGTGACTTGATATGTCAAATGAAAATCCACAAGGTCACAAGTACTTGCTCATCACTCCGATCGTATCTATGTTATCATATCTGAGGGATTAAGTCGGAGACTAGACGCCAAAGAATAACCTGTTCTAGCGTTGCAATGAACATTTGAACGTGAGTTGTCTGACTGAACTCTGAATAACACACTCTTCATTCAGTACAAGGACTCTTTCCAAGGTAACACAACACTTTGAAAAGTATCTGGTTGCAGAAAGAGAGAGCAGGCAGTGTCGGATAAACAGTTGTCTGGTTACAGGCTCATCAGTACAGAACAAATTGTTTGATTAAGCACATTTAACATGTCCATGTTGACAGGTACAATGTGCAGCTTGTATGATCTGAATTTTCCTGTGATGATGTTGAAACACAACTGACAGAGAGATCAGCATGTTGCTCAGGCCAGTGATAGCTCACATGGGAAATACTGCATCTCAGACAGTGAGAGGACAGCTCGCAGCTTTGAAGTATGAACCTAAATATATGAAAAAAGTGCTAAATTCCGTCTAAACTCAAGCCCCACACATGACGTGTAACCATGTGTGTGTGTTTGTGTGTACTCAGAGTGAGCTGCTGAGTCTGGGGAAGCAGTGTGGCCTCTCTCAGAGAAAAATACAGACGTGGTTCAGACACAGACGGAACCAGGATCGACCCAGCAACACCAAAAAGTTCTGCGAGGCCTTGTGAGGTTTTTTTTCTACTTAAACACTGTTGAATAAATGAAACAAACTAAAGCTGCAGTAGGTTAAATGTTTTGGAAGGGTTCACTGGAGTGGATTTGTGGCAGAGACGAACATCACACCATTCACACTCTTATTGTGAAGATTTGGTCACAACTAAACAGCAGGAACTTAGACATTAGTGCAAAGATTTCTGATGCTGCAGCTAAGTTTATTTTAAATTCTATTTAGTCATCTATGCTTTATAAACTGAGGCTAGTTTCACAAAGAACATGTTGATATTAAATTCAATTTATCGTGATGTCATGCAAATGTGTATGATCATATATTATTTGCCTATTTTATCTATTAGTTATTGATTATTTTCAGTCTCTAACACAGGATGTTCATGTTTATCTTTGCAGCTGGCGGTTTCTCTTCTACATGGTTGCATTCACCGCTGGGCTCGCCTCTTTATTTAATGTAAGTCTGTTGGTCACCTGCTTTTGAATTTCTTATCCTGAATTACACTTGTGAACAATTTATTCAATGTGTATGAATATAAATGTGAGGAGGTTGTTGGGCGTGAGTGTGATGGATTTAGTATTTTATATATATGTACAAGTACAATATAATATATATGTACAAGTATATATGTACAAGTACAATATAATATATATATGTACAAGTATATATGTACAAGTGTTTTATATATATGTACAAGTGTTTCATAATCCTAAACCTATGTATATTGTGAATAATCTTCTGTTTTCTAATGAAGTTTAAATCTTGTCCAGGCTACAACTAAATTATTTTTCCTTGGTTCTTCAGAGTGAGTGGTTGTGGGATCACAGAGAGTGTTGGAGGGGATATCCCAAACAGGTGAGCAGGAAACACTGTGATTTGAGAGGAAGGATTCTTATGATGTTGTTGATTATAAAAAGATCAGTCACCAAATTTTCATTTTCAAAGAAACAATCTACTACCAATGAAGGTCAGTTAGACAATCTACTACAATTAGAGTTGGTTAGACACAGATGTTTTGTTCTGGAATTCTGGAATAACAAAGATTAGTTAGACTAAGTGACAGAAAATGTCAACAGTTTTGAATTTTTTCAAGCAAAAATGTCAAAATGTTTCCTTGCTATTCAAATGTGAGGTTTTGCTCGTTTCCTTCATTTTATTTGATTGGAAATGTTATCCTTGTTTTTGTTGATCATAAAACTGGAGTTGGACTCCTCAAACTCGTAACAGGCATCTTTCACTTTCTTTAACTTCTCAGATGTTTATAGACTGAATCATTGAGCAACATAATGGAACCAAATAGAGCACATACCTCCGCCAAAGCCCAACAGTCCCCTTAAACTTAATTAGGCCTCATGATATTGCACATACTCATAGATATTAGTTCCCTAAACGAGCCTGATTTTAATCATCAAGATTAATGAATTTAATGGGATGGGATATTGGCGAAGATGTTGGCCACCTCACTAAAGAAAGTGAAAAAAATAATCCTGGATCCAGCCCTTTACACATGAATGGTTTCTTTCTTGGACCATGTTTCAACCAAGTTTTCTGGAGATTCTATCTCAACACTAATACTAACAAAAAGTAACAGAAAAAACATTAGCTGGGTGTCAACCAACCTAACAAAGTCCTGAGTCTGTAAAGGAGTTTGTCCGCAGCAGATTTGGATTTCTATCAGAGATTGGTCAGAGCTCTCTATCCACCAACTAACTTTCATCTTCATTCCTTTCACTTTCTTTACAGTAAGCTCGAAAGCTTCTATGTTCCTAGATGTGTTCACATGAGTAAGACAGCTAATCTCTCCGCGCTGATGACAGTTACGTATGCCTGCAGGTTAGCATTCCTCAGGGGAAGCCAGCAATCTCTAGAGAGGTCATGACCACGAACGAAAAGAAAAAAATGTAAAAAAGAAAAATGCAAAGCCACATATCTCTCTATCTGCTGTTTGATTGATTACAGCTCCTGCAGGCAACACTGCTGCTGACCTTTTTCCAGAGCACTGTGGTCTCTGACAGAGAAAAGAAGGATGTGTTTTCAGGACTTAAACGCCTCAGTCAACTTCCTGTCATTGTGTTGCTGCAGACTGTGTTTGGATTTGAGATAGCACACCACCACTTTCTTTGAATGAAAACACTTACCCATTTAGCTGTTTAACACTTTTGTTGAGGTCTCTATAGGAATGGTTAGGTGTTTTTTTATTTGACCATCCAGAGCTTTGGAAAATCTGAACTGTGCATGCTGCTGGGGCCAAAATCAGTGCCAATGTCAGTTCATTACATTCGTTTAGCTTTCACAATATGCAGTGAGACTGTTCTGCTGCACAAAATCTCCAGGAAACATCCACAGTGGGTTTCCTGAGGCGACACAGATGTTGGAAATGCTTTTGTTGCACATAGCACTGCATGTAGACTCTGACTCATTGATTCTCTCTTCCTCTCATTTTTCAGCCCGTGGCCGAGGCTCATTACTGGTATTACATCCTGGAAATGGGTTTTTATTTGTCGCTGCTGATGTGCGTCTCTGTTGATGTCAAGCGAAAAGTGAGTGTGACTTTCAAAATCACACACACACACACACACACACACACACACACACACACACACACACACACACATCTACTGCAGTTTCCTCTGTACCTTCTTTTCGTTTTAATCAAATGGTCAAAACCTCAAAAAAGCTAAATGTCATCACTTGCTCACTTTTTTTTCACAAAACCCTGTTTTTCTCTGGCATGATTACATTTAATACAGATAATTTGTTGGATTATCTGCTATTACCTCGTAATACTGAGTACTCTGCGTTTGCAGGATTTAAAATCTTTCATTAACTTCATGACACATAGTGAAAAATAAAACACAGCAGACACACACATTAACTCTTCAGGTAACTTTGCTCTACAATATTTCATTCCTTTTATTCTGCTGTTGTCCAAAAATCTTTTGTTTCTGAAGGAGACCTTAAATTTTTTTAGGCAATTTTTGAATTTACTGAGAGGACCGCCCCCTTGAGATGTCGCATCTAATTTTTGAGCGGGTCCTATTAACACAAATGCAGAGTTAAGAAAACATGCGAACATACAGCCGACAGCCTGCTCACCCTCTCCCACCCACACCCACAGACCTCAGCTACTGGACAACAACAAAATTACAGAAAATCTAGCATTTCGAGGATTAGAAAATAAAGATAACCTGAATCCACAAAAAGAGATTATAGATCTCAAAAAAAGGGTAAAATTATTTCAGTCAGAGGAAGCTTTGTTATATTGCAGATGTCTCAGTGGACATGAAGACCTTCGAATAAGAGGGACAATTATAATCAACACATTTCAAAATGAACTGAACCCTGTGAAATTGCCTTCTGGGTTTGGGCTGCAACCACTTATGTGATTCAAACATGAAACATTCAAACATTCAAACATGGGCACAAGATTCAAGTTTTCACATGAGAGCCAGAGGTGTTTTGATAAATAATATCAGTCAGTAATGGGTGAAATCTATTTCTTTAAACTTGAATGAATATTCAGTTTTGTGTGATTCACAAGAGACTAAAAGCTGCTGCTCAGAGACATCTGACCTTTAACAACGTGTAAGCAAATGACTGCAGTCAACATGTAAATCTGACTTTGCTCACATGGGCACATCAGACCAACAAGAAAACGATCTGCTAGGTACTGATGTCGTGGTTTGACTCCTGTTCTTCTCTCTCATGCTGTGTGACGTGTGTGTTCACTTGTGTGTTCCAGGATTTCAGGGAGCAGGTCATTCATCACATCGCCACCATATTCCTCATTGGTTTTTCCTACTGTGCCAACTATGTGAGGGTTGGCACTTTGGTGATGCTGGTGCACGACTCCTCTGACTTCCTGCTCGAGGTAAAACACTAAACTGTAATTTGCATATTTTCCACCCTACCCCTCCCTCTTTGCATTGTCGTATATTGTGGTGGAACGTTGCATAAATCTGAACTTGTAAGTAAGAGGAAAAGGAAGGAGGAAATACTGTACATCATTATGATATATTTAAATGTGCAATGCTTTGGAATTTCACAAAGGGAACTTGACTTGAAAACAGTTTTTTTTTAGGTTTTCTTCCTCTTACAAACTTCACTCATTACACCACTTTGTCTAGTATAACACACAGAATATCATTATGGTCTGTGCTAAACATTAAAATACCATTAGCTAAAAAATAATTCTTACCTCCACATTGCTTGCTGATGCAACAGGCCCATTGTTCCTTGGTTGTCTTATGTCACATTTCACCGATAACATCTGAAAAACAAAGATTGTCAGTATCATCTCAGAGCTGAGGAAATATTTGGAATTTGTTATGTGAGTACAGACGTGACTGGGTGTAGTCTGGTGTCTGATAAGTCATAAAGGGACAATAACTCAGTCAGTGACTCTGCATAGGCTGGTACATGTTTTCTGAAGAGAAACATTTGGTAGCTTTTGTTGCTACTGAAGCTTTAACCTCAGATTTAAAGTATGTTTCATATTTAGAATATAAACTGTTCCATTGCTTTAATGATTAAATTAAACATTTGAACATTTAAATAGTGGAGAGTGGAGTGCCTAAATTATCACAAATCCAGAAACAGATGGCAATACAATCCTGCAGCTAAAACATTGTAGTACAACCACTGGAGTGGACTCTTTTGTTGCCCACCCTCTGTAAATTAAAATAGGGGCGTTGCAACAGGGAAGGCAAAGCAGGCAACAGCCTGGGCCAAGGTCAATTTTCTGAGAACCCTCTTAAATTCTATGACCGACCTTGAACAGGTGCATTGTAATTGTAGAGGTTTGGTTAAAGACTAGAACTTCTAAATGTGAATGTATGATGATCCTGTATGTATGGTAAGATCTGAATTGTTTGAAGATTGAAATTATGTGGTTTGGTAACATATGCCCCCCCCCCCCCAGGTTCCCTTTGCCAGGTCCCTTGAATCATCCTGCTTGAATTAGATTCAGACTCTTAATATGTGGTCACACCTTCTGTGATTAGTAGATCTCAACAAGAACATTTATCTGTCTTTTTCATACACCAGTCTGCTAAGATGTTTCACTATGCCGGTTGGACGAAGACGTGTGACTCACTTTTTGTGGTCTTCGCTCTCGTCTTCCTTGTCACAAGGCTGGTGGTGTTTCCTAGCAGGTAGGACCTTTTACTGTATATCAGCTGATTTCAGCTTATTGCAGATACATTGGAAACACTGTGGAAATTACATGGTAAGTCCACCAGAGGGCACTGACAAGTTGATTTGTCCTGTGTCGCATGTCCAACCCAGTGTGTATCATGATGTTTGATTGATCAAGATGTTTATGATATATATGAGTTGGAATTGTGTTACCATATATTGGAATTTGCTGCGTCAAACAAGTCATATCACACATTACCTCAAACTTGCCAAACTGTTTTATGCTGTGGTCATTTGGTTAAATATCTGGTTTAAAATTACCACAGCAAACGTTTATGTGCTCCATCATCCACCATCTTGTTTAAAACATGGTTTTTGTAGTCTCTGCAGTCTGCAGTAATGTTTTGTTTGTGAATCTGCTCTCCATTGTTCTGGATCACCAAAGTGTTTCTCATATTTCCAACATGCATCTTGTCTCTGTTTTTCCCACCAACTTCACATAATTGGTTTCTTACCTGAGAACAAAATGTGAATAGATCCTTGCAAAGAGTTTATTTGGTCATTTGAGAAACAGAACGTCGGAGGTCGAAATGCTCTCAACTTCTCAAGTATTGAACAACACTGAGAACAGGTCAAAGCTGACTGTGTCTTATTGTTTCTGTTGTACAGAGTCGTCCACACAACCCTGGTGGTGTCTTCACAATTTTTCGAGCCCTTCTTCGGTTATTATTTCTTCAATGCTCTGCTCTTAGTGCTGCAAGCCCTGCACGTCTTCTGGGCATATCTCATTCTGCGCATGGTCTATAAATTTGCGTTCTCGGGCAAGGTAAGAGGATGACGTTGTTCAAACAGCACCTTATGGGACGGGGGAATACAAATATGTTCATCACCCTTTAGTTTTCTCCTTAGGTGGAGCGTGATGAACGCAGCGATGCAGAGAGCGAAGTGGAGGATGAAGAGGAGGAGCCTGAGGAAGAAGGGGACGAATGCAGCTGGGAGCAAAGGAAGGGGGCCATCAACTCCAAACTGGCATCACTGGCGAACAACTGTGTCCTGAACAACCTGACCCACCAGAGGAATATAAACAGCAGACTGCCTAAAGCCAGATAGTGGAGAAGCCCCCAACTCCTCGTCCACCAAGCCTCACTGGAAAAACAGTTGTTTCACCCCGTCGCTGATTGGAAATGAACTTCTTTGTGACGTATGATACACACCTGGCTTGTGAACACATAACAAGGTCCATTGATGATTTCGGGTAAGTCTGCATCCTATTTATCTTCACAAAATAAAGAGGGGAAAGAAGCACCGATGATTGTAAATCTTTGGAAGACACGCCATCATGAGTGTCACCCTGACTATTGTAAATTCGCAAAACGAGGAGAGAGTAAAAATTTCCTTTACGTCTACTCAAAAGTGTTCTTTTTGCAGATTTTGTATTTATGCTGTTTGTTTTCATTGAATGACATTAACTTGTTTGTAAATACCTCAGTGTAGAAACTCTGTTATGATTCATTTATCCTTTCTTTGGTCAACAAGATAAACTGAATATTTTATATCAAGCAGTTATCTAATATGTATTATAAGGTGTTTTAAAATAAAGCTAGAATGATGTAGTAATGCGCTCCCCCAGCTTTCACATGCACATTATGGTTGATTGTACTGAGGCTGTTAAAAACATTGATTGTAGTAAAAGTCATCAAACCACTTAATAGAATATTTTTATGAACCATTTACCCAACAGATAATTTGTATTTTGTTTTAATCTGTGACAGAATCGATAAAAGATCTTTAGACATTAAAAAAGATATATTTTAATGGCAGAGTTTGATTTGCTCTGTGGATTCAGTCTGTTATGTTGAAGAGATGTGGCGCCCCCTGGTGCGCAATGAAGAACATATCTTAGTAGAGCTGGCACACCCCCATGTTTCAAAATGATGCCTTTGGGAAGAAAACTACTTAAATCAGGTGTGTATGTACGAATGTGTGTGTGTGTGTGTGTGTTTATAAATGTGTATGCCTGTGTGCATGTGTGTGTGGCACCATTAATTCTCAAAGATGTTTTTGTTGAGGTTTGACCGACTGTTGTTTTGTTTTATGGCTTGGCTGCTGTTTTTACACTGTTCTGTGACGAGCACTCGATATGTGACGCTCTGTGTTGGTAGGATTATGTTTACTGGACAAACACATGGACCAGGTCTTACTGTGACTATAGTTTCAATGTTAGTGAGTTGGTGGTGACACCTGGGTAAGCCATGATAAACAGTATATGGGCACTATAAAGACATGAGGGGAATGTTAGATATTTTAGGTGGTTAAGTTGTCTCCAACGGTCCAATAATAACAGGCTCAGATCAACGAAAGTCTTGCTGAAATGTAAGGATTTTGCTGTTTTTATAAAAGCTTATTTTGATACGACTCGACAGACACTAACACTATACTGGAAAAGAGAGATTTTTTAATTTTACATATATTTATCCAACACCCTGGAACAATGATCTGACATCAGTCATGTTCTATAATATGTATATAATGTGGTTTGGCTCCAGGTTATCATTTCACTGCTCTTCTCGTACACAGTTTGTCATCCACTATCAAAAACTGAACTGGTACAGTGCAACGTGGGATTTAAAATGACAAAGAAGAACTTAAAGGGCTGATCCACTGAATGACACACCTGTGATGCCACAAAGATATACTAATATTTATAAAAGAGAGAAATATAAAGTGCATAACCAGCAAATGGCAGGAGATATGTCATGTTACCATCTATTGAGTTACATTTAACTGTTCTCTTATGAGTGTACAAGGAGGCTCTATTGATTGTGTGGAAAGTTTCAATAAATTATATTGAAGAAACAAGCACTGGTGCCTTATGTTATCTTGAATATCTTTTAATTAAGTCAATATTTGTTTTCATTTTTATGCCTCCATGCCGGCACAGCCACAGACCATGAGGTATTATGTTTTTGTGTTGTCTGTCCATCCCACTGTTGTATCTCAAGTATGCCCAGATGGATTTTTTTTCATATGCTCAGTTTGACTCAAAGATAAACTGATTAGATTTTGGTTTTCAAAGGTCAAGGTCAGGCTGTTCTCACAAAACTATATTTCCTCATGAAAGTGTTATCATAAGAAGGCCTTGAGAGAATCTTTTCAAATTTGGCAAAAATGTTCACTTAGAATGAAGGATTAACTGAGTAGATCTGGGTGATCAAAGATCAAAGAACAAGGTCTCAGTTGACTCACAATGCAGGTTTTTGGTCTCTTAAACTTAATTTCTCAAGTCTGGAATTTCTACACAGTTTGGCCAGTTGTCACTTGGACTCCAAGATGAACTGATTTGATTTCAGTGGTCAAAGGTCAAAGGTTGCCGTGACATCATATGAGTCTGGAAAAAAAAAAATGTAGACTTAAACCGCACTGGTTGGAGGGGGCCTATAACAATATGGTTTTATTTATTTCACCAAGAAATCACAACCTGTTACATAGAAATCTACTTGTTCTCTTCAAAGCAAGAATGGCACTTGTATTATACATAACTGCACATAGAGTTATAAGAGTATTTCATTCACATATCCATTCTCATGGTGACACACCCTCTGATAGGCACGGGGCAGGGTATGGCATCGTCTACCTCAATGCATGTGTCTATATAAGGGTCCATCAGCACCATGTTAGGAAATGCTTTGTTACTCCTCCTCTCACTGACCAGGTATATCTGTCCACCGACTGCGGTGCAGCCACAGAAGAACTTCCTTTCCATAGATTCCTCCTCCAGCACAGTCCACTCGTCTGTCTCCACGTCAAAACGTAAGCTTTGGCCTCCAAACAGGTAGAGGGCACCGTTGAGCTCAGCGGAAACCAGGTCATACCTATAGGAGGGTTTTTTTAAGCAATTATCATGTTTAGTAAAGAATGCAATTTTATTTTGACAATGTCAAAGTGGTGAGAAGTCCTTGCTTTATTGAAAATGTACTCACCTTGGAAATGGAGAATAGGAGACTACATCCCACTGATCCTCCTTCACCAGATACCTCTGAATTCCACCGTACACCTCCCCGTTTTCATCTAGGCCACATGCCACATAAATACACGACCCAAGAGCAGCAGTGGCTGCCCTCTCCACGGCCCTAACCATGGGGCTGACCCCCTCCCAACCCTCCTCTGACCCCAGGACCAGCCTTTCCACATCAGCGACAAGCCCTTCGTCCATGCTGCCACCAAGGACGTACAGCACTGAGTCCAGCCCTATGGAGCAGTGGCTGTGCCTGGATTTCTGCAGGGCCGGCGCATCCACCCAGCGTTGGTTCCCACATTCATACATCCTGACCCAGTCCACGCTGAACCACAGCACATCCCGGAAGTAGCCACCTGTTACGACCACATTGTCTCCTACATGATGAGAACATCAACAAAGTCAATACATGATGATTTCATTGTCCAGTGTATTGTTTGGTTACTTTGCCTAATGAGAATAAAAGCAGAAGACTGATGAAATCTTGTATTTGCAGACTTTGACAATAAATACACTTTCAGCTGCTCACATCTTAATCATTTTCATTATCATCCTCATATCCAAAATCATTCTCCTCACCCAAACATTACCTACTGCAGCTACCGAGTACTGTGTAAGGTTCTTCCTCTGCAGAGGCGCACAGCTTTGCCATCTACCGCTGTGAGGGTGAAACTGGTACAGAGCCTGTTGCTCCTGATCGTGAGGTCCACCCAGGACAAAGAGGGTCTCTCTGGCCCCCATCCTCCTCAATGACCTGCCCATTGACCAAGACGCTGGGAAATGTTCATTCAGCATGCAGACGAGCTTTGCTCTGGGGTCAGAGCTTTTCATTCTGGTCAGAAGTTCAGTTATAAACGGTAAAGAGAGAGACTCGGGCCTCACCAGCTCAATGAGCTCCAGAAAGTGTTCTTCTCGTTTAGGGTCAAATGATGCCCAGCGTAGAGTGGCCTCAACGGCCAGATCTTCTTTATTGATGGCCAGGTCATCACTTGCGAGAAGATCTGCTATGCTCTCCTTGGACAGGGACAGGAAGTCCTCTTCAGCGATAACAGCAGAAAAGTGTGTGAGCACCACCCGTCGTGCAGCGGTGTACAGCTGAGTGCAGCCCAGCCACCAGGCGTAAGTCATCATTTCCAAACAGTTAGTAAGGTGCAGCTCACGCTCCAGGAACTTGCAGCACAGCAGCCGGGCTCGCTCAAGCTGGAGGAAGTCTGCGGTCTCGAGGATCCCTAGAACATTTTCTCTTTCCAACACCAGCCTGGACGTCCTGCTGTGCTCCATCAAAACCCTGAACGGCTGCAGACACACGCCTTTAATCTCCACTTTCCTCTTGCTGCTTTCTACACCACAGCCAAAGAACAGAGCCCTGAAGTAGGGACTCTGCTGGGCCAGACGGCAGCGGTTGACATAGAAACTCTCACCCTCTACCAGCAGAGTAACATCAGGAATATCAGGATCAGGGTGTTTCAGGTGTTCAGATGATTCCTCCTGTTCTTCAGAGAGAACTGTCATTTTAAAGCTCTGAGGCATTGGCTCAGTGTCCGCTCTGCAGGCCATGTTCCAACAGCCGGTCTCTGCCTCGTTCTCCTTCTGGTCCTCAACACACCAGCTGCTGGTAAAAATAGACTGACTGTGCCCCTGACATCACAGTAAAAGCAGGTCAGTTTAAAAACAAATACTGATTAAAACGTAAACAGGCTAATAACTTATAATTCAACACTTGATCTTTTCTTAAGTTAAATGACCATTTTCTCCTCTTCTTTCTTGGTGTCTTTTATAGAACAGTCAACAAACCAGTTACGTCACCTACAGGCGCTCAACGATTTGATTGGTGGGGCGTCCCCGGGGTCAGGGTTTAACTTCCGTGTCACGCAGCTAACATGGCGGTGAGTTCGCCTTGTCTTCATCTTTCATTCAAACACGTTTTTACCAGTTCGCACACAAACACACTGAGGGTGTATTCTCCACCATGAGTGGTTTCATACGAGCATGAGCTGAGACGCAGCGCTGCTCTAACGTAGCTAGCCGAGAGAAGCTAACCTCAGAGCTAGCTCAGTGTTTGTGTGCAGCTAGCTCGCGTGTGACTCCTAACTATGTCCTCTTCTTCCACTGTGCAGGATAAAGAGAAGAAGAAGAAGGAGAGCATCTTCGACTTGTCCAAATACATCGACAAGCCGATTCGTGTCAAGTTTCAAGGAGGACGAGAGGGTAGGTGGACGCCGCTTGCTAATATGCTAATGCTAACATGATTTAGGTAACAGGAGCTAAAGTTATATGTTTGAGCTTTATCCCCTGAAAGTTTAGTTAATCTGATCCTGACCAAAGCTCCATTCATAATGTGTGTGTTTCAGCCAGCGGTGTCCTGAAAGGGTTTGATCCCTTGTTGAACCTGGTGCTGGACGGTACAATCGAGTACATGCGTGGTAAGTGGATTTAAAACATACTTAAAAAGATATTCAAACATAATATTATCCCTCTCATATACTTGTTTTGGTTTAGCTTGACATCATGATCATGTCATATTTGTTTGTTGGTTAGAGGGTTTGTGAACAAACCACATGGTGAAAAGCATGAAATCAAATAAATAAAAATATGTTTAAGAATAAAGAGAGGGTGTAGAAAGATGTCACAACTTCAATTTGAGAGAAACCCACCATTTATACAGTTAGGGTTAGAAAACTTTACCAACTTATTCAGCCTATGATAAAGTCTGTAACACCTTTAATTTGTTTCTTTAACCTGAACCAAGCTTGAAACCCAAACAAGTCATTTCTGCATTCCTGAATTATAACCTCATCAGCCTTGGATAAACCCCAATCCCACCACTGAGGCCAGCACTAAAGGAGACACTATTTAGATAGAGGGGAAGTTGATTTTGTATCTGCATCTTCTTTCAGACATGCACTGATTATCTGAAGTTTTCTGGAGGGGCTGTATGCGAGAACACAAATGTCTGAGTCAGTTTCTCCAGACATATTCTGGATCTTTTCTTACCTTTCAGCCCTTATAAAAAGAAATCCTTAAAATTCATAGCAAGCGGGTGGGTGTTTAGATGATGTTTCTAACACGTCACCAACCTAAAACTGGAAGAATATAAATATCTCAGTATGAACATTGTTGCAATACGTGTAAAAAAAAATGCCTTGAAGTATTGTTGTCAACACAAAAACAGACATTAAGGCTAAACCAGTAGCTGCTTCTTCCACCATCTTGATGATCTTGATATGCTGCAATCAAAAACACTCCCCAGGCATCACTCAACACCTGAATGTTCTGAAAATATTTGTGTTGTTGTGTGTGACTCGAACAATCTCCTGCAAAATCTAGAAATATAATCATTGTTAAAGAAGAAATAAGGCAAGGGATATATATTATAGTGGCTCATACAACGTTAAATCTTAAATTCAATACAGTTTTATTTGATTAGTTTATTAAACCACAGCATACATTATCACCAAATTTATTTATTTTTTTGCTAAGGTCAAGACCATTACAATATTATCAGATGATGTACTTTAAAGCCCAGTTTTGAATCAGATTGCACAACTGACCTAATAATAGTAAGTGTTTTGCTCAGCAGTTGAAAGCATGGAGTAACTAATTTTAATAATTAGTTGATTAATTTGAAATGACTTCCAATAATGTTCAACTTTACATGGTGTGTGATTTGTGTCTGTAACCATTGTGTATCCAGATCCAGACGACCAGCTGAAGCTGACAGAAGACACCAGACAGCTGGGACTGGTGGTCTGCAGAGGAACGTCCGTAGTGCTAATCTGTCCTCAGGATGGCATGGAGGCCATACCGAACCCTTTCATACAGCAGCAGGACGGCTAACACACACACAAGCCTGTTGCCTGCTGAGTTACACACTCGCACAAGTTTTTGTTGTTTTAATCATAACAGTGATAATGCATACAACAAAGGAATTTTCTGTTGTTAACAACATAAGTTGATCAGCTGAGGACACTTCACTTTTGTTTCAGTCAGTGGTGTGCAAATGTTCAAAAGATTTGAGTTGCAAGGAGCCTTCATGTTTTGGAGGCATTGACAGGACTGTTTTCTTTTTATCCAGGATAAGTTAACTTTTTACTATTCTTTGTTGTTTTTGATAAGAAAATAAAATGAAAAAAATACGTTGGCTCTTGTTCAATTTTTTTTTTCTTGCTTTTGTACATTTTGTATGGCTGGAGAAGTAAAGGCTGAAATATCACCTAATTCTAATAATACATTTAGTTTCTCACAATTTGAGAGGGGATGTTTCAAGAACTAGATTTAAATTTAAATTATTTCCGAAATTAGTGATGTTTCCGATTTCAACATCCTGCCAAAACATCTACAGCTCAGAACAGGCCCATAAGATTAGTGAAAGGTCTTCTTGCTGCAATCTTCCACTTATTACACAGATGTAGATACCGGGGGGGCAGCAATTTTAGACATATGTTAAACTATAATCCTCATTGTACAGCAAAAACTAAAGGAATTTATTGTACCGGACTGAGAGTTTTTTAGGGGAAATTCAGAATTTTTTGCAATTGTAGTAGGTCTTGATCAAGAGTGATGTGTTTAGAAGAATAAATTGTGTGTGTGTGAGAGAGAGAGAGAGAGAGAGAGGGAGAAGATAAGCCATTCAAGCCTGTGTGCACACTGACAAAGAGACATTTGTGGTATTAACTGCTTTGGGGGAGGTGTTTTAAGCAGGGTGGAGAAATATTGTAAGTAAACTGATTTAGTGTTTCTTTGGGGGAGTTGTCAGGAGATTTACTTGTGTTTCACATGTGAATAATTTTAGGCTGTCACTAAAATAATGATCAGAGGTTAATTACTGTACTGTATTTTTTTTTCAGGAAAAGTTGCCTTCATGCTGAGAGGCTCCAGATTTTACTTATATTCTGGACTGTTGTAGGTGTTGGGAACCTGAAGTAAAAAGGTTGGATTCCAGGAGTCTTCGCTCCTCCTCTGCTGCTCAGTCACTGTGTCAATGGAGCACACACAGACAGCGACTACTGAGCTCACCTCAGGATTAAAGAATCTTTTTTAATGCCCAGTGTTTTCAGTATAAGTTGTTTGGTAAACGCGTCTCTCCCTTTGGTTGTTTACCAGGAGACACGATGGAAGCTCTGAGGTGACAGTGGAGATGCTTGTGCACATCGAGGTGTAACCAAGAGGATCAACACCGATGGGTGGAGGGTCGGCCGGAGATTTCTGTAGCCGAGTCGACTTCCTAAAGTAAACTGAAGAAGGTGAGCTACCTGCGGGACGCGCACGACACGCCCCTCCCGGCCAGGTGGAACAAATAGCGGACCTCTCTTGTCTCTGTCTCTCGTCTTCCTCCATCCTTCCATGTGTTCCTGTGTGCACCCGGTCACGCACTGCGCTAAGGACCGCGTTATATGTTGAAAGTCAGTGTGCAGAGGAAGGAGAAAAGGAAGAGGTGAGTGTGTTTGCTTCAGAACATAAAGACTGTATTGTTGAATGTGCCACCGTGAGACCCACCGAGTCACCGTGCGCACTGTGTGTGCACTGAGTTATCCTCAACACTGGAGTTAATGCATTTCTATCTCGTTATCCGTAAATTGAATGTCATCTGATTCTCGTGTGTTTGTTTTATGTTGTGTGATCTTCCTCCACATCTGATTTGCAACATGGCCACCATGGTCTCTTTTTTACGCGCAGCCAACAGCCCTGCGCTCTCTCCACTCCTCTCGCATATGGAAGTTTAAAATACTTTGATCAGGTGCATGTCTTTTTTTAGATATTGACCAGACAACTGGATTTACTTTTAAACAGTTTTTCCACAGTTTGCTACAATTTGATTGTAAAATTAAAAAAATCCTGGATCCGCCCAATCATTTGGTTCTGCTCCAAGATTTATAAGATACTGCCATAACACATACTGCATCCTTCCATCACGTTATGTAATTAATATATTGTATTATCCAAGCGATTGTTTTATAATATTTCTTCTTAATTTCATATCATAGTGTCTTTTAAGTTTTGGGGACAAACTCAGTATATTGTTGTCATGTTCTCAGGCCTGGATCGTTTTGTCTGTCAGCCTTGATGATGCTGGAGTCAGTGGAATGTGAGTTGTGAGGTTGGTGCTTTGAAGCCAACATGGAGGGAAAGAGGGATGGAGGAGGAGGAGAAGGGCAGTGGTCCTCTTCTGCCTCCTTCTGCAGGAGCAGCCTCATAGCCCTGCTCCTCTTCTTCCTCGCTATCGGAGTCAGTGTAGGCCTGTTGATCGGTGAGTTCACAAACTATATACTTTCAATTTGTAATATGTGACGACTCTGTAAAGCCCCAATCCACAGTTTTTAAAATGTTTTCTAAACTTTAGGAAACATGCAGTCTTAAATGACAGAAGCCACCTTTAGCTGCTAATCATTTCTTACTTGTTACTTGTTACCAGCGTACCTGGTCCAGGAGGAGCATTATTTCATGGATACAGTGGAGCTGAAGGGTCTGAAGTATGATCCGGCTTTACAGGATAGGGACTCTGGTTTCTCTTTAGTACTGTCCTCAGTCTTAAAGTCCAAGGTTAGTTCTGTCGTCACCTGAGTGAGAGGTCAATTCTTCCTTCAAACTGTACTAAACTGCTCATTTCACTTTCTTTCAGATTGACAATGTCTTCACTGCCTCATCAACATCACATCACTATGTTGATTGTAATATTGTTGCCTATGGGTAAGTTAGAGCTCAACTGAGAGAGATTATTTATTCCAAATGAAAAATAAAGGCTCTGACATTAAACTAACACTGCTCTTGGTCTTCCCTCCCAGTAACAGTAATGGTGATGTGATGGTGACCCTCAGATTGGTCTTCAGGGTCTCCAAGGTACAGCAGTACTCAGATAATTTCATTCAGGACTTGCTGAGAGCTGGACTCAGCTCAGTCATGCACGGGAAGCCGCTAGAGGTGCCAGAATTTGGAAAGATCAGCGCTATCATCTTGCTGGGTAGTAAAACTACTGTGGTCAGCTGACTGTGTGTGGCGGTCTGGAGTGGAAGTGACAAATATTGTCTGCAGGCCTCCACAGATTGCACTCAATCAAATATTTTACTCTCTCCTTCTAGGTGCCAGTGGGAAGTCATTTTATGCAGTTGGAGATGAGATGATAGGTAAGTTAAACCACATAAAATATTACCTGTAAATATCTAGAATAGTTGTGTTTTGGGTCTTTTAAATTCACTGAATATTATTAGGAATAAATTGTAAAGCAAGTCATCCATTTTCTGTCTAAACACATCATCAACTTTTCATGAGCAAAGAAAACAGCTTTGTTTTCTAAGTTTTGAAACATTTATATTCAGTTTAGCTGTTGAGACTTGCTGTATGGGGGCTGCATCTTGTGTACACATCGCATTAATTCCTGAGGATGTGCACAACCTACACACCAAACAGATGCACGATCCATAAAACAGCCATATTGAGTGGGAATATTTTCTATTAAGATGTTTAGAAAAAAGGTTTGTTGGGAAGTGACCTTCAGAGAAATTAAGTAATCGTCAGTATTATACATTATTTCTTACAAAAAGATTGTTCTTCTGTTTATATTGTCACCTTTTCTCCAGCCAGGTGTCCTGACAAAACTTTCACTTGTGACAACGGAGAATGTGTCACCAAATTAAATCCAGAGTGTGACTTCATCCCTGACTGTGCAGATGGATCTGATGAAGCTCGTTGTGGTAAGTGACACTGAAACTATACATTTGAGCCTTTTACTATCCTTTCAAGCTTCATTATTTAATTATTTTTCAAACGTTTTTCATATTTGAAAAAATAAGCATTTTACTAATATCTCCAGCAGAGTATACTGGAACTGCCTGGTCATAATTTAGGTTAATTACAATTAAAATGGGAAAATCTGAAAAAACATAACTGCATTCTCTCTTACTCATACCCACATGGTTGAACTTCCCTCCTCAGCCTGTGGAACTCGTCCTGCCATGGGTAGTCGGGTGGTTGGCGGTGAGGATGCTCGACAAGGCGAGTTGCCGTGGCAGGTCAGTCTACGTTTCCATGGACGCCACACCTGCGGAGCATCCATCATCAATGACCGCTGGCTGGTCAGCGCAGCACATTGCTTTGAGAGGTAAGCATGGATCGTCATCTCTCAAGGAGATATTTGTAAATCTATCAAGTTGTGGTGTAAGAGCAGCATTGAGATATTAATGGATGAAAGACCCTAGTGACTTGTATGTATTTTTATTTAAAGTTTTGTTATCTCTTTCTTTTCTTTTTCAAGGGACAATGACCCCAGAGAGTGGACGGCCCTGGTTGGAGCCAGACTGGTGAGTGGTGAGGAGTCGGGGACCAGGACGATCAACATCAAATCACTGGTTGTGTCTCCAGACTACAACCCCATGACCACTGACAATGATGTAACAGTGCTGGAGCTGGAGACCCCTCTCACCTTCAGCTCTTACATCCAGCCAGTCTGCATGCCCTCGCCCTCGCACATCTTCGCTCCAGGCCAGACCTGCATGGTGTCGGGTTGGGGCGCATTGCACCAGTTTAACTGTAAGGCTCTGCATACAAGCGTACACCAATTTGTTGTGAAAATGAATACATTTTAGTTCAGACAGAGAGAGTTATCATCACATTTTTGTTTCTGTCAAAACCAATGCATCAATAATATGTTGATATTTTGGGGCTAATCTTTGAAACAATATTATCCGCTAATAGATAAGATATATCATAAGATATATCATAGCATATATCATAACATTTGTGTATATTAAGATGTATAGGATCACACATCATCATATCTTGTACATTAATAAATTAAAGAGTTAAATGAAATAATCATTTCAAATTTGTGCAGCAGGATTAAAAGCTGAAATATGATCATTGTGAGTAAAGAGTAATTCAGTTGTTCTACGTAATGCTCTCCTTTAGTCGAGGTGCCTCCTACACTGCAGAAAGCTGTGGTGAAAATCATCGACTCCAAGGTGTGCAACAAGTCGTCGGTGTACAGAGGTGCCGTTTCTCACAACATGATGTGTGCCGGATTCCTGCAGGGCAAGGTGGACTCATGCCAGGTCAGTGCTGTTTCTGCAGTTCACATACGGTAGCCACAATAGCATCAGCTATCAACTAACATGTTCTTACAATACTTTCTTGTCTTAGGGCAGAGTTTTGTCTTTTATTTTCTATCTTGAAACTAGAAGAAACCTGTATGTTGACACTGCTCATGCCCTGTGGCCTGTAGGTTGTTTTTGTTACGTGCATCTAAGAATAACATAATGATGAGTGTTGGTACTAGGAGGAGGACAGAGGGTGAGAGTCTCTCCCACTTCAGGCCCTGTCCCAACCTCTCAATACAATTTAATCAACTAAATTAATCTCGACTAAACTAACCTGTGCAGGGTAATTAATCTCAGTGTAGAAAGATTACCTTTCCTTGCACGCATCATAAAATAGAATGAACAACTTTCTTTCAAAAAATTACACAATGACAACTCAAAGGTTTGTATGGGACGTGCTGAATTATCATCTCTTGCGTGACAAAGTCTTGTGTTTTCCCTGCAGGGTGACTCTGGAGGGCCTCTGGCATGTGAGGGGGCCCCAGGACGGTTCTTCCTGGCTGGGGTGGTGAGCTGGGGTATGGGCTGTGCCCAGATTAACAGGCCTGGGGTTTATTCCAGGGTCACCAGGCTCCGCAACTGGATTCTAAGTCACACAGACCCCAGCCTGGTCCATTATTACTCCCCGAATGTTCCCACTGTGCCAGTTACTGTGAAAGAACTGAGTTTTAATAATCCACCAGTACCAGTGACAACAGACATGGATGTGTTGTCTCCACTGATATCATCTGGTAAAATAATACCAAAAGAAACTATTTGAATACAATGTCACAAATTTGAAAGTCACTCATTCATTTTAATCCTAATAGCCAAGCTTTACTTTCCATCATGTCCTCCAGTCTCGAACTGCAGTGGAAACTTCCAATGTAGCGCCACCTCCTGCATCAATAAGGTAAACCCAGAGTGTGACGGAGTCCCTGACTGTCCCAACCAGGCAGACGAGAGAAACTGTGGTATGTTTACATCAAATGCATGAAGAAGACTACATGTGTAATTAAAAAGAAAAGCTTCTGAGGTGTTTCTCTTTCAGTCTGTGGTGTGCGTCCTGCGTTGGGCTCCCAAAGGATTGTGGGTGGAGTGACAGCTCGAAGAGGGGAGTGGCCTTGGATTGGTAGTCTACAGTACCAGAGGCTTCACCACTGTGGCGCCACACTCATTCACAGTAAATGGATACTGACTGCAGCGCACTGCTTCAAAAGGTACTTTGCTTTTAACTAGATCTAAAAACTATGACTTTATAATCTTACTGAAAATAACCTAACTACATAAATTAAATAACATGATAGAATATTAAATGTTCAAGTTAACTTAAAACACACCATTTATTATATTGATATCAACAGTGACCCTAGTCCCACTAACTGGGCTGTGGTCCTGGGATCTGTGCTGCGCTCTGGGGTAGGAGCCCTCGTCATCCCCATCCAGAGGGTCATCATTCACCCAGCTTTCAATGGCACCAACATGGATTATGACCTGGCTCTGTTGGAGCTGGCGGTGCCAGCCCCTGTGTCCTACACCGTCCAATCTGTCTGTCTCCCCTCACCAGTGCACCTCTTCATGGCGGATGCAGAGTGCTACATCACAGGCTGGGGATCCATGAGGGAAGGAGGTGAGAGATATCCAGAAAGCATCGTACAACTCCTTAGTGTCATAAACAAATTGGGTTTGAAACCATTATGTCAGTGGAATTTTAAACCAGATGTATTATTTCCTTTCCTCTAATTTGTTATACAAGTTTGTGTGTGAATGTAAAAGGTCTTCAAAAGTCTGAGGGTAAAGTTTGAACATCTGAGCAAGTCAAGTAACCCAAATTAAAATGATGAACCTAAATATGAGCACAACATGTCTCCTGTAATTAGAATCCGTTACGACCAGAAGCTTCCACATTGTTATGACTCTTAGGACCTGAAACATTGTGAACATGTATAACTCACCTATATAATTATCTTTTTATTACCTTTCACCAGGTTCATTGACCAACCTGCTGCAGAAAGCTGCAGTGAACATCATCGAGCAGGCAGACTGCCAACAGTCATACGGAAACGTGTTGACTCCTAACATGATGTGCGCCGGTAACATGGAGGGAGGCAGGGACACCTGTTTGGTAAGAAGCTGTACATTTAAAAAAATAATTTTTTCCCATCCTGGACATGGGCGAGACTTCTGTATTACCAGAGTGGTAAGATTGGGGACCAAGATTACACGAGTGCTCCGAGGTTCTGGGAAACAGGGCAATGGCTCGGAAAAATCTTTTCACAGTGGATGGTTAACCAGGTCAAACCATCGCAACTGTTGCCCTTTAGTCTTTAGAAGTTTTTTTCACAAAACAGTAAAACCATATGAATAAACATGTTATAATTATAGTGCAGTGTGATGGATAAAAACTAGACTTCCTTGTTCAGGAACATTGAGGCACAAGTCAGAGACAGAGATGCTTATCTGATGGGAGAGAGTAGACTTTTATTGCCTAAAAATACAGACCCCCCCCCCCCCCACTTACCTGCTCCCTCTCTGTAATCTTCTTATGTAAGGAAATCCACATGCATTCCTGTCTCGGTCAGAGCACCTGGCATCTCAGCAGCCTTCCAAGTGACATTCTCTCAGTACCTGCTGTGTCTCGTATTCTCTCTCTTTCACTCCTCCTCCTTAATCAATTGTTTTTTATTCTAATCATAAGAGCACTGAAGTAAATTTACTTTCTTACAAAATAATAACTAACTTTCCTTTGTCATCATTCAGGGAGACTCTGGAGGGCCCCTGACTTGTCGTCAGCCCTCTGGCCAGTGGTTTATTGCTGGAGTGACCAGCTGGGGACATGGATGTGGGCGAATAGGATTTCCAGGGGTTTACACCAGAGTCACATCTGTCAGGAAATGGATATCGACATACATGCCTTTCTGAAGAGGTATAAAAAGCAGCTGTACCATCAAAGAGATGACAAACCATGTGGACACATCTTCTCCAGAACGTTGTACTGTACAAGCACTCAAGTCATCCTGAAAGCCAGAAACATATACTCAGTTACCACAGTACTGACCTGTTCGATCAACAGGTCATAGTTGCTGTGTGTAAAAATGAGAATCCTGAACTGTTACTTACAGACAAAGTGCTAGAAATATGCATGACTGTAAGTATTTATTTCAGTTATTTATTTTCCTGAACGTTAACTGTATGATGTGAGGGTTTTTTTTTCATTTTGTGTGGGGTTCATATTATATGTGGTTCATTTATGGGTACATTTTCTTGTCTTTTTTGTATCTGTTCCAATGTAGTAGTAGCTGTTGATAGGTGGGTTTTTCTGGGGGAAAATAGATCTGTATGGCATTGGAATCAGATTTAAAGGAATTATCCTTTTCACTTCAGTTTTTTAGTCAACGTGGTGCTTTTTAATTGATCTTCTTGATAAGAATTACAAGAGAAGAACCTGTTTAAGAAGCTTTATTCTCATGGAAATCATTGAATTCGCTTCAGTCACACCTCAGATAACCTTTAGATGGTTTTCTGGTTCTTACTTTCCGACACAGATTTAGGAGGGTAGAGAAGAAAATGATTCTGGTTCTCAGACATTTCACTAACTGTGCACCAAAAAGAATGGGAAAGGTTCAGTACCCCAGCCACAGCAAGGCAGACCCTGCTCAAACAAGCCCACTACTGTGGAGGGCAGCATATAGAGTGACAACTGGAAAACAGGTCAGACAAAACTGTTTTGTTCTCCAGGCGTACTCGAGCACTGATATCTGACTGTTTGAGGCTTGTGAATGTCAAGTTCACGGTTGTGGGAACACCAAGCGGCTCAATTCTTCCTGCTGATTTTAATTTGGTTTTTCAGAGTAAAAGCATGTTAAGGTAAGACTGTTGTCCTTAAAAGGGGTCCAGTGTGCTGCTTTAAGGAGAAACTGTTGTGACTGAGTCCTGTTTACAATTTTCATCATGTGTCCTAATGATACAGGCTGTTGAAAACAAGAAAAATTCAAACTCAGCCTGAATGAAGTTTTTTTATTGAAGCCCCAGTGTTGTAGTTATAAATGTGCCAAACAACAATGGCAGTTGAATAATTTAACTGCCACATTTCAACAGCACATTTTTAAAATTGCTTATTCTACTCAGGAGCATTGGGGGCCAGAGCATATCCCAGAATGCACTGTGCACAAGACACAGAGCTGACATGTAAAGACAAACACATTCACACCCATGATGACTAGCAAGTTCGAGATTCTGATTCAGTGATCCACACTGCAGCTTAGACCAGTGCATTTTTACTTGTGAACAAGAAGATTTAATATTTATAACATAAAAACATATTGAAGCAAACGTGGCTCCTGAACTGTTCCTCAAGGCATGATGTTGTTATGGCTAGAGTCTGCAGGCTGTCCCTGTCTGTCTGTGAGGTATGATGATAGATATTGTAGGTGTGCTGCTTCCAGGACACACACACACGTGCACAGCCTGTGACCTCCAGTGGTGCACTGTGCTCCTCCACACTGTAAAGCAGCAGTCTGGTGAAAAGAGGGATGTTCACATGCGAGCTCTTTCCTTCTGTAATCTGGCGTTGTATGTTCGAGACACAGTGTTCCAGGCATCCATATACCGATCCATACACATGGCAATACATTTCTGTAAGGACAAGAGCGGTGAGGTTAAGGGAGGATCAAACTGCGAAATGTTCAGTGAGGAATCTTTTTCATGGTTGCAGGTCAGTTAATTTCATTACCTCTGCCAACAAGGTTATCATTATATTAGCAAGATTAAGCAAAAACTACTCAAACGATTTTCTTGAAACTTGGTGGGAGGACAGGGTATGGGCCAATGAAGAACTTGTTCATTTTTGGAGCACATTCAATTATAAAGGGGCAAATTAACAGTTATATAAGGTGCATTTTTTAGTATGTCTAGAAATCTTTATAAAATAAAATCAGTCATGTGTAGTGTGCAACTAGCTATGGACAAGTGCTGTGTATCTGGATTCAATACATCTATATGCAATATAATGATAAAGCTGTTAAAATTAGGCTAAGTGTTAGGTATGTGTTTTTATTATTATTATTTTTTTAAAGATGGTGAATATCCCAAACACCAGCAGATGTCAGAGACCATCAAAGGATGTTAGGGATGTGTCATCAGTTGTGTACCTTTGCATCATCAGGTGTTTTGGTCTGTTAATCCCCAGACACTCTCTGCTAAGGCAGGCCCATCACAGGCTAATCAAACCTGTGTGTGTGTGTCCCTAACATCTTGGGGCCCTTTTGGGGTATTTAGATTAATGATTAAATAGTGTTAGATTAATGTGCCATTTAAAATATACAGACACCACCCATTAAAAATACCAAAAACTTAGTTTGACATATCCAAATTGCTTTTCAGGTTTACTATTACAGGAACGCAGCAAATCCTCACATTTGAGAGGCTTGAGCCGGTTACTTTTGGTTAGGAAAAAAATGACTTGAATACCTGATTGATTATGAACACTTTGTACAGCTTGTTGTTTCAGCATCACCAAGTAAACAGGTTGATCTCTTAAGGCCCAACACACATACCTGCTCAGAGTTGTCCAGTGTGCTCCCAGGTTTCCCTATACACTTCTTGAAGCATTTGTCTGTCATTCTCTGAAACATGAAGAAAGATATTACTCGGGATTGTGCTCAATCTAATACAGACAGCTGTGAAAACCCCATGAGGCTATTAGAGTAAAACTGGGTTCAAAGCATGTGGTTAAAGATTTAAAGCTTGTGTTGAGAACATTTAAAGATGGTAACATTTGAGGTTTAATAGCTGAATATGATCTTCTACCAGGATCAACACATCTTCTCATTAAGCCCATATTAAAACCTTACTGCAGCATCTTCAATGTTCTCAGCTCCAGTTTACTGCTGTTAGCTTAGCATCGCTACTTCACCTGCAGCAGCTCCTGAGCATTAGCCACAGCGATCTGGACCTTGACCTGCTCCATGATGGCACCGGGGTCCACTTTACCTCCCGAGCCCCCGGCAGCGAAGTCTGAGCCGAATCCGTCCATTGCTTTAACCCGGTTCTCTGTATACACACGTGTGGACAGAAGCTACAGCGTGAACACACCGATAACATTAAGTTTCCTGTGCCCTTGACGGCAAAGGAAAGCTGCAGACGTCATTTCCGCTTAGGTTGAAGGGGTCATGGGAAATGTAGTTTTTAGTGTGTGGACCTCTTTATAGACAGTCTGTGGAGTGGACACGGCTGAGTTCTATTGAAAAGTGCCCAACCCCAAAACACACGCACACACACGCACATTTTTAACTTCTATCTTAGTGAGGACACTCATTGACATAATACAATTAATAATTCCCATACCCTAACCCTAATTTAAACCTAATTGTAACCCCTAACCCTCAAGCCATGTCTTAGTCTATGGTCTTAGTCTATGGTCTTAACCCTCAAACAGTCCATTGAAAAAGTGAGGACCAGTCAAAATGTCCTCACTTTCCAAATATGTCCCCACTATGTGGGGTCTATGCTTAAAATGGTCCTCACAGAGATATAAGTACAGGAACACACACATACCTTCTTGTACTTCTTTTCCTTAGTGAGGACACTCATTAGCAAAATGCGTTACCTAGCTCCTTACCCTAACTTTAACCATTGCTATGTGCCTTATCTTAACCTTTACACCAATCTAAACATGATGCTAACCCTAAAATCTAAAGTCAAAACCCTTTAACAGCCCCCTGAAAGAGTAAGGACCAGCTAAAATATCCTTAGTCCGCAGGGTCTGAGCTCAGTTGGTCCTCACAGAGATGTAAGCACAAGTAGAGAACTTATCGGCTTCATTCATTGTGGACAGCCAAACCCAAACCTTTTTCCAAACCATATCCTTGACCAATGCACGCCTAACCCTAACTTTAACCCTATGCATCATCACATCTTACCTGTGACCCTAACCAGGACCTCAGAAATTAACTTCTACTTCATTAGGATCAGTCTTTGGCCCCCATTAGGTCTACTGGTCCTGACAAGGTCTGGGAAAGGTCCATACACACACACAAATGCATGTTTGCCACACGGTGGTGATATACTCCTCTAAATCTTTTGTCGAGAGTGAACAGCCTCAAGTTTTACCTCTTTTTCTGAATATGTTTGGAACAACAGTTTGATTTTAATATACTCATTGTTACATTTAGACTTTGATTATTATTTTTTAATTAAAGTACCCTAATAATCCATTTCTCTCACACTGTAACAAGTAGGCTGTAATATATCAAGTCACTGCAGTGTAGTATGGGTATGGGATAGTAATGTCCAGTAATGAGGGGCCAAGTGGGGCTGTGGTAATTGGATTACTCTTATTCACAAAACAATAGTACACTCATTTATTTTGTTTTGTACGTTTCGGCTGAATGTTTTGTACAATTAAAATAGAAAAATCAATAAAAAAAAAACACTGTGCCCAATTTGAATGGCCCTACTATTTCTACTTTAATACTTTACTGATTTGTGTGTGTTTTTTAAAGGAAACATAAACTTGAAGAGCTTTTGTTTGACCTTCATATGGGCACAGTCATGGAAATCGCAGTGGAGTGCTGCTTAAAACTGTCCACTACTACCCTATTTCTATTTATATTCTACGTAAATAGAAAGGGATAATAACCTCTGCCTTGTTTTGTAGTGAGTCCTGAGCATGTGGATGACTTGCTCTGAAGACCCCTCTCCGTATATTTCAGATGGGATGACCTCATAGAGGAGGCCACCTGCCTTGAGTGAACAAAAAATGTGGTACAGAGAGTCTGCAGGCAAAAATGCAGCAACCCAGTGAATGCTTTGTGGCAATGCTGGGGGCATTGAGGAGGGATTGTGGGGGGTCTGATTAGTGGTGTGTCTGCCACAGAGTAATTAATGACCAGTTACACAATGCACATGCAAACACACACATGTGCACACACATATGTCCTAAGACCAGTTTGGCCTCAAGCCATGCAGGCCTGACTAGGGGGCAGGGGAGGATTGGGTTAAAGTGCGGCAAAATGAATTAACCCAAGATTACACTCATGAGTTCATTAATCTAATCTTTTTAAATTCTTAATCTCCTGTAGGCACACTTGAGTGTATAAAACCATTTTGCCCAGTCAGCCTCAAGGGAGGCTCCAACAAGCACCAGTAACAATGGTTATGAAAGTGTACACTGAAACCCATTGGGGATCAAGATATTCTTGATAAAGATCAAAATATTCTTGAATAACTTTTTTTCTGAAGGTCATAGAGACTTGGAAGGTGGTTCGATCTCAACTAATGTGGGTATGCCCGATCCATTGGTACCATCAGAGAGATTCTACGACCTTTGGAAGGGGTCAAACCCCCAAATCTTAAATCAAAAGTACAAGATATTTTTGAATAACTTTTTTTCTGAA